TGTTCCGGACTGCTCATGAAATTAATTAGGCCTCATTACCCGAGCCATTACCTCCTAGGCGTCGCCATAGTCCGTCCGCATTATCGGCTGTGCGTGGCACGCCACTGGCACGCTGGGGCGGGCGCTGGAGGCACGCCGGAGGACCGGCGGCGCCAATAGTGATTACGCTGCTCCGACCATTAGCAACGCTGTGGTGCTGGGCGCCGCGCGAACAACCGCCGGCAACCCGTTCACGTGCGCGTGGAGGTAAGAAGCAGACCGGGGGCCGGGCTGCAGGTTGGTGTCCAGAGTGAGATGGCGCCCGCCCCGCCCCGCCCCGCCCCAGCCGGAAACGAAGGGAATTAGCTGCGCGGTCCGTCCCGGGGCGTGGCCGCGCGTGGCGGGCGTGGCGGTGGTCCGAGCAGCCCTGCGTTGCTTAATCGCAGACGCGGTCATGATTCCATCTCTCTCGCCCCCATCTTGGCGCGATTCCGGGGCCGGGCCTACCCGCTGGCGGGGCGGGGCGGGGCGGGGCGCAGGCCCGGGGCGGCCGCCTTCCGGTGCCGCTAAAGCTGCAGGAAACGCGTGATGACGGAACTAATTTCTCGGTAGCTCGCCGTGATTGAGCACTGGGCGCCCCAACGCCTGAACCAGATGCAATTATTTCCTTCGGCCGAAGGGCTGTGGGGCGCCGAGGGGCTGTAGGGCCGCGCGGCGGGGCGTCTGGGCCTCCCCCCCCCCCCCACCTCCACTCCGGCTCCATCCGGCCTCCGTGTTGTTTCGGACCTCATCGATTTTCCTCTCAATCATTCACTCGCTAGTTACTTCCCTTCCCGCTGCCCGCTGCCATGCCCATGGCATGCCCGGCAGTGGTGCCAACCGGCGCGGGCCAAGATGCCCGCCGGGGCGTGTAGCGCGTAAAGAGCCCGTGCTCATTCTTTGTTCCTGTTTTGTTGGCAAGCGTCGGAAAGGGTTCTTTTGTTGTTTTTTTGCATTTGACTTTTCGGAATGCTAGAGTAAACCATTTGGCGAGCAGCTTCTCAAATTCTTGGCTTGCTCGTAGCAGGGCTGGCGTGGGGTGTGGACCGGAAGCAAGGAAGTCGCCGCTCAGCCCGCCCAGCCCTCGGCCCAGCCCCGACGCCATCCAAACTTTAATCGAATTTTATTGGGGCGCGCGGTGTGCTGATGGTGCTGATGCCGAAACCACCGACGCCAGCGCGTCCTCGTGTGCATTAACGAAGTGTTAACAGCGAAGCGGACTGGCCGAAAAGGAGGGGAGGGGGGCGAACTGGCGAACGGATGGCGGCAAAGCGGCGAAAGAAATACGTCTAGCGGAGGAGAAAGGGCTCTACATTAATAACAGCTGCGTGTATATGAGAATCCGGGCGCCCCTCCCCTCCCCTCACTGCCCCGCTCGGCCCGAGTCCGCTTCCTTGCCTCCCCGAGAGAGCAAATTAAAAATCTGATCATGACATGCGAAAAGAGTCCCTGCGCTGTTCTTGCGAGAGAGAAAAAAAAGTGGAAAAAGCGGAGCTCGCGGAGACTGGGAAGGAAAATAAAGTGAGAAAGCCGGGGCCGGAAAAATATTTCTATCCGAGGCAAAGAAGTATATATATAGGCGGGGCGCCGGGCCGTTTCAGTCATTATATTGGACTGTGGGGCCCTTGGCGGCCCTTGGCGGCCCTTGGCGGCCCTTGGCTGGCCCGGCCTTGGTCCCCGCGGGGGGGGATTTGAATCCAAAAGCCAGGCAGCGGCGCGCCGGCCGCAGGGAGTTGCGCGGTTGTCCCGGCAGCGCGTTATAATTGAAGCCGCAAGCGATGCGTCCTCGCGCAATAAGAAGAGAGCGACAAAGAGAAGGCGAAGGAAAGGAAAGGCTGCCGGATGATTTCCCGCAGCCGCCGTCCGCCGCCCTCGCCTCCACCGAAGATGATTAAGATGATTACGCCGAGTCCGAAGATGAGAAAACGTGACAAGTGTTTGCTTTTTTCTACTCTTGGCGCCTTTGGGCTCTGCAGGCGGGACCACTCGTGGCGGAGCTGGGTGGATTCCGCCAGTGTTGCCACGCGTAAGTAGGCAAAAATGGCCGCCATGCGGCTTGTGTCGAAAGGGGTGCCAACCTTGTTCTGCCCACAGGGTGAAGCTCAGATACTGCCCAGTACGGGCTAAGGTTGGCAACCCTTTGGACTCTGAAAGTGCAGCGCATCTTGGGAATTCATGCGTACTTTTGTGGCTGCACCTCGTTCCGCCCGAAACGCCACACGACCATCAAACCCCTCAAGTCGAGACAAGCCAGCAGCCTCAGCGCCCGCGCTCCGCCGGGTAGGCAGCACGGCGTGCACGGCAGAGGGGGCCCTGCCTACCCCGCACGGCGCTAGCTTCCCGTGGCTTTGGACTTCGCGCCTTCCCGTCCCCGTCTCCCCAGTTCCCATCCTCCCATTCCATCCCATCCCCGTTCCCAGTCGTCACTGCGTCACTGCACTGCCGGCGCTGCCGGCGCCCAGCCCTAGCCGAAAGCGGGCCCGGCCAATCTTCACATGATATCCGTGTCGTATTCGATCCAATAAAGAGCGAGGCGGCACCGCGGCCGTTGCGGTGCGGGGGCTGCCGGGGGCTGCCGAGGGCTGCCGGCCCGGTCGCCGGCACTGGCACTCTGGCGGCAGCAGATGTCTCTGATCAATATGATAGCAGCGACTGCGGCAACACGCCGGTCGTCCGCCCCCGCCCGCCCCCGCCCGCCCCCGGCTCTGATTTATCTGCAGCCCTTCGCAGCGGCCCGAGTGCCGTGTGCCGTGTGTCCGTCCTTTTGCTCGACTTTTTGATCCCCCTCTGCGGGGCGCGATGCCTATATCAGTGCGGTTCCGATTGGGCCCCGGGGAAAGGGAGGGCGAAGGGGAGGGCGAGGGGGCTGAGACGCTGACGGTGCTGTAGGCATGTGTGTGCGCTCGGCTGGGCTCTCACAGTGCCCAACGGGAAAAAGACGAATGTTCTTTCATTCCACCACGAACCTGCTCCACGTTAAAATCTATCTGCTTTCTCACATTTGCGACAATGATTCCATGCCTGCTCCCCCACCCCTTCCCCTCTGTCTGCAGTCCGCGGGGCGCGGGGTGCGGGGTGCGGCGCCGCGTCGTGTTGTGTTGTGCCGTGTGTGCCGCCTGCTTGGGCTAGCAACGGCCATCTCCGGCCCGTAAACCGTAAACGACGTGCTTCAGCCACTTTCGGCCGCTTCGGGCTCTTCGCCCACTTCGCCCACTTCGCCCACTTCGCCCACTTCGGCCACTTTGCCTACTTCGGCCACTTCGGCCACTTCGCCCACTTCGGCCACTTCGGCTAAGGGCCACGTCGGCTACTTAGCTGCCGCTTCAGCCGCTTGGGAGCAATATTGCAGCATGGCCTTTCCAAAAGAACATGTCCAAAGAGAACATTGATATGATATTTTCTGAATGATATGTGCACAGGCCGGTGTTCGATATTTCTTGGATAGAAAGTACGGGAAAGTCAGCTGAGAGGCAGGTCAACGGATCCGCCCCTCGTCTTGCCATTCATCGCCCCAATTATTGCTTTTTAAATTAAGAGTTTGGCGTCGGTTGCTGTGACGAAACGGATAAGAACTGTGTGTGTGTGTGTGTGTGTGTGCGCGCGCGCAGGCACGTGTTTGTGTGTTTGTGTGTGTGCGAGGGAGAGTGGGGGTGTCGTGAGGCCCTGGGGCGGCACCTGCTATTGACACCTCATATATATACAGCACAGCAGCAAGCGGCGCCACGACCCTACCCCTTACTGTCTCAATCTCTCCTTCCCCTTCCCCCTCCCCTCCCCCTCCCCTCCCTTGCCCCTCCTTTTCACCTCGCACTCCTTCGCACATTCACATATGCATGTGCACACGCAACCACGCAACGCGTCGCAACGCCGCGGGGAATCGTGGAATCTCTGGCCAATGGCGCCAATGGACTTTCGACACGGCGCGGCGGACGCAGGGAAGGTGGAGGGGGAGGAGGGGGGAGGGAGGGGAGGGGAGCTTTAAGGGGTTCCATGAAATCTGTCACACCCATAATTGCTCCGTGATTCCGTCCCAGGCTGAATGAATCTGCGAGGCTGCGGGGACTGGGACTGGGAGTCCGGCGTGGACCCGGGCGGGGCGGGGTGGGGGTGGGGCGGGTGCGGTGCGGCGTCAGGAGCGAAGGGTGCGTTAAACTTGGGATTTCATGCCCCATTCGGGCCCATTACATTAGGGAGGCTGCGTGCGAGTGCGTGCGTGCGTGCGAGTGCGTGCCATTGTTTTCTGTATTCCATTGTCGTATATTATATTATTATGCTTTCCGTGTGCCATTGGCAGACATTCGGGGGCCTTCCCCTGTCCTCGCAAAGTTATTAACTAGCTCTACCATCGAGATCGAGGTGGGTAAAAAAATGGGTAAAGATCGTTTTTACCAAAAAAATAAAATAAAAGATGCAATTTGCTGGCTTTTTTCCCTTGTGTCACGTGCGAAAGTGATTATGGAGCTTTTAAATAAGAGACAGCGATTGAACAGAAAATCGGGCGTAGAGTGTTCCCGCAATTCGTGTACTAGTACCAACATGCAGCCGAGGGTTGGTTCCTCAGGTGGCCTTCCCCGTAGTGCGGAGCCCTAACTTATTCTTAGTTTTGTGTCAAATTTTGCATTTCGCGAGTCTCCCTCCGTACGTATCATGGTCGGATTCGATTTCAGCTTCCAAAAGGGAAACCCATCTCACACTGCAAGTGCGACACAGTGTCGCCCTCTTGCGGCGCAAGGGCGAAGTGCGTGCAGGGGTGCTCGGGAGCGAGCTCGACGACAGCAATGCGAGCGCGCTCTAGCGGAGAGAGGACGAACCACTGTGGCAGATGGCGGGAACCGGAACAGGCAGGGAATCCCAGCCCTGCGTGTCAGTTGGGAGGCCTACCTACCCGGCGCTCGGCCTGTTCCGTTTCTTTCCAACTTATTCTACCATCGTGATTCGTGTAGGTCAGGCTAGTCTGGCAGGTAAATAAGTGCATTCTCATATAAAAAGACAAACAGTCTACATTTTATTTCCTTTTTTAAAACAGTAATCAATCTGACATATGGCAAATACAACAATTTTTATCTTTTCAACAATTTACTTGGTCCGTGTTTCGATGCACTTCTTTAGACTAACAAGAGAGGGCAAATGAAACAAAACCAAACAGAGCCACAAAAATATCCAATTAACAAGTTTAAATGCTGAAAAGCGAGCCAACAAATTACAAGATCACACAAAATCATAATGTACACTCCTTCAAATTTGGACGGCTTTTGTTTCACAAATAATTATCATACCTATATTCCTGCGAATAAAGTTCTTTCTCGAGGAGTAATGTTCCACTAAAACTTACTCCTGCTTTCTTATCCTACAATAAAATAACACTAATTTTCATTCATGCAATACTTATAATACAAGGCCTCTGGACAAAATGATACAAATTGAACAAGATGAATTTCCCAAAAGATTATCTACAATAGTGAAAAACAAGGTGTCTATAGATTTCATTAGAACTGTTCTGTACAAACAGGCGTGTGTTCTCAAATTTTGCAAGAGGCAAGACGACGGGGTACAGGGGAAATACGATCTAACACGTACAATAATGTGGAATCAGTAAAAAATGTTAAGTAAACATCTGAAAATAACTACATACTTGAGCAAATTCATATACCTGCTTAAAGCAGAAATTGTAACCATTTCACTAACACAATTAATATTGAACTTTAGTAAAAGTGTGCAACATGCGACTCAAGTCATAATTTATGAGCACTTCATTAATCTCCATGTTTTTGAGTAATAATTTAAGGGACTGAAGAATCAGAAATTCTATCATTAAGAGAAAAGTATGAAAACTGATCTTCAAGGAGTGACAACATTAAAACATACAATACATAATACAATAAAATTAAAACGGAGCTATAAAAATCTGCATGGACAGCTGCCGAAAGAAAATACAAGATTAAATCAAAGACTTAACAGAAGTAGTACCTAAGACAATAACATCACATCTCACAAGTGGACATGTCAAACAATGACATGCACACAATCACAATCCAATTTACAATTTTTGTTTTATAAGTGATCACTAGATATGAAGCACTTAAGTTCCCAAAGCTGTGGGCAAGAATTTAGAATTTAAAAAATTGTAGAAGAGCTAGAATAGGCTCCACTTCTTCACTAGGAGTGAAGATTAAGTCCAGTTACCCACAGAAATTGAATGACATAGTAAAACCACTGCTTTGAACTAGAAGGAATGTCATGGTCCCATTCATGAAAATATTTTAAGTACTTTACCAGTCAAATTTAGATTCAGAAAATATATATTGCACACAATGGGTACAATGCATCTCTGGAGTGCTAGACACCTCGCAGTGACTTCATATAAATCACAATGGCACCACAAATTTTGTAAGTATTAGGTTGTTGTATTTATACGACCTAATGCTTACAGTTTATCTCCCTCTCCATGCTTTGTAAACATTACAGCACATCTTTAAAAAAAAGTTTAAATATCTGAAAATTAAAGTTCTACCATTGCAATGCACAGGTACAGGATATTTTTAAAAATAAAAGGAAAACATAAAATTGAAATGGCAAAAATGTGCACATGAAGTGAACAGGAACTGCCGATTGCTGATTCAAACTGATCTTGTCATTTGGATATAAAAATTACGTCATTTTCAATCGTCAAATTAGTTATGCTCTGTCACTTCAAATTTCAATTTTGCTTTCTCCTTTGAACACACATCAATCCAATTAGATCAGATTAAAGGACGGGAGTCTTTCTCGAAAAGAGATTCACAACCTATTGCTCAAAAGCAGGATTTGTGCGGGTTTCAAGCGACTTTCCATTGGAGTGATTCTTTCCATTCTTCTCATTGGGTTTTGCATAATGTTGAGTTCCTTCTAGATTTAGGGTTTCTTGTCTACCAGATGATCTGACCAAACATCCAACAGCTAAGATAAGTAAGAGCCCACCAAGAATGAAAAGCCCGTACATCAGTGCTGATCTTGCTACTGGAGGAACATTTTGAGCTAGAGCCAATAACCCAGTGACTTCTTCAGGAAGACCATCAATACCCTGAAACAAAGCATTAAAAGTGGTAAGTAATGAAGTCAACAAAATAGAGCAAAGTAAAAGGATAAAAGAGTTTTACAGAAACTTACGTCTTCAAACCACATGATGGGGAAAACAATGTCAGGGAATGTGGCCACCTGCTTAATGTCGACTACTTGGCTCACAGCAAGGTTGATCTGTACTCTAGCTCTGGCACCAAGGGCTGTTCCCATTTTCTGCAAAAGATAAAATTGAGTTAAAACTGCACATGGAAAGCGACTGAGGTCAAACCCGTATCGGAAGGCAACTTACAGGGTGAACATCAATGTACAATCTGTGCTTCTCTGGGTCAGGGGCGTCCACGCCAATGACAGCGTCTCTCAGCTTAGGGTCAGCCAGGTAGAAGTGGGGGAATGACAACATGATTGGAGAGTCTAAGGGAAACAAAAATTGAAACATTAGGATTTTACAAATACCCTTTCAGAGCTCAACTATCCATGCCTGGCACATACCATATTGGCAGAAGGAAACGTTCATGAGGCCATGAGGCGCGCAAGGGGGTCCAGTGGGGCAGAAACAATCATTTTCAGGATTGATGGCAGGTTCAGCAAAGACATTCTCAGGGGGGGTGAACCGGTAGCCATTCACACCACCATTGGTAACCACATCACGCAGGTACCTAAGAACACGAATGATTCATTTATTGCATCATATTAAATGTAAAAAATAAAACTTGGCCAAAATTTAAACTTACCTCAAAGGAAGAAGACGGCACATGTCTTTGTCGTACACATAAAGGGTAGTGTTCTTTGTAATGTGAGGAGGGAAAATGGAACCATCAGAGCCATTAATGCGGTTGCATTCGTCGGTCTTCCAGTGGGGAAGAGCGGATTTGCCGTCGAATCGGTCAATGAGTCCATAGCGGGTAATATCACTTGCTCCAGTGAAGATCGTCACCACCTCCTTGGCAGTTCCGTTTTTCTGGAGAACAGAAACAACATGTCAGTACACACATTAACAACGAGCTTCTTAGACAATGCAACGCTAAAAAGAGGAAACAGAATTTTTCAAAACAAAAACAAAACACTAAGAAATTTCAAGTAATTACAATAGACAAAAACAAAAAAATACTGCACTAGTACAGTAATATTGTGAGCAGCTTGGACTGTGAGAAAACCATGCAAAAACCGAAAAACTCCAGTGAGTCACAAACAAAACGAGCTGGTGCTGGCATGCACTAAAAAGTAATCAAAAAAATCAAATAAAACACTAGGTATTTAAAAAAAATACTGCAACAAATAAATAAAGTAAAAACACTCTTGTAGCTGCGACAAAGGGCAAATCCCGTGCAGGAGTAGCAAGACAAGCGTGGAGGAGACGGAATGCAAAAAGAAAATCTAGCGGCGCCTCCACTGCCACGCGACAAGGTGCCACCCAGCCAGCCAGCCACTGCCGGCTCCGGCTCGGGCGAGTACCGGTCTGCAGACGCCGAAGTTGCCGGGCTGCTTGAAGGGGCGCGGCCGCGCGCGGCGGGGGTCCTTGAACATGCCGGCCGTGGCCACGGGGACCCTCATGATGACGGTGGGCTTGCGGGAGCGCGGCGCGCCCAGGATGATGTCCAGGCCGTCGGCCACCACCTGGATGATGTTGCGCAGCGGCAGCGACGCCACCAGCGCGCCCGCGTCCGAGATGCCCTTCATGGCGGCCACGGAGCGCAGCTAGCACAACACAACCAGTCAGGGAAACACCCAGCACACCCAGTCCGCCAAACCGGCCATCAGAAGCTGCAAGGCTTAAACTAAGGCGCGCACTGCGGACGCGCACCGTGACCTATCTGGAAGGCAAGCGATTTCCTAAAGTGGGAGTATACGGACAGTTTGACAAGATCGATCGGAACCCCATCCGCTGCCACTGCACTGCGACTCACCCCGTACATGAGGCCGAACTCCTCATAGGGCAGCTTCTGCTCCTTGGGCACCACGTCCTTGGCGAGCTTGAGCAGCGGGTCCTCGTAGCCCCACAGCAGCTGGCCGACAGACACCTCCACGAAGGGCTTGATCTTGAGGATGTCCATGATGGAGGCCATGGCGAGTCGGAGGAACCGGGCCGCGTGCTTGGACTGGGAGGTTGCGCTCTGCATCGACAAAAACAGAAACAGCACCGTCAGCGAGTCAGCGACACGTCAGCCGTGGCCACGTCAACGCGGTGCGGGGCACTCACCAGCATGGGGATGTTCGGGACCACCACCATGTCCTCGATGTCGCCAACGCTCTGCTCCGCGTCGAACTTGAACACCTTCTTCTGCTGGAAGGACACGGTGCCATTGTCGTTGAAGGCCACCGCCACCTTCTCCCAAGTCTCCCTGCGACACAAAACAGAAGCCCTGGTGACAAAGGTGTCCCTGGCAACGGTGCGCCAACCACCACGTCGTGTGATCCAGAGCACTCTCTCTCTCTCGCACACCTGCACGGAGTGCGCCATGAGTGCGACAGAGACAGGGCGAGCAAACGATTCTTCTGAATGGCCCGGCGTGGCCCTGGCTTTTGGCGGATCAATGCAGCTTATCGGCACATCGGCCGCTAAGTCACCACTGGGGGCAAGGGGCGGGCGGGGCGCGGGGCGGCAGGCCTTGGTAATGACCTTCGTGAGAGTGACGTCACGCTACATCGGCGAAATGCCCGGAAGTTCCGCCCAGGGACCGCGAGAAACGACGTTATAATAGCACGGCCGAATTCCCCCGCGTCAAGAACCAGTCCAGCGGCAGCAGGGCCAGCCCAGCCGGTCGGCCGCCAGCACCACAACAAGTAGTGGCGGATCCAGGGCCGGCCCGGGAGGGGCAGCCAATACTTTTGGCCAACTTACAGACGCAAAGTGCGGCTTTCAGATGGCTGTGCATGGACCCAAAAAAAGGGGGGGGATTATGCCCCCACTGGATCCGCGCCCGACAACAAGAACAAGAGCCACTTACACGTAGACGTAGGGGCCCAGCTCATTGAGGATGGGCTTCTCCGCGTTGTTCAGGAAGGCGTCCGCGTTCGTCACGTTGTAGATGTACACCCGCATGACGGGGTGCACGGGCGGCTTCCTCCACCAGTCGAACGTCTGCGAGCCATTCTTCAGCACGATTTCCTGCGGGGGGGAAAACAAAAACATCGGTTAAGACGGGCAGACAGTAGGGCAGTGTAGGCGCATGTGTCCGCGGACCATAAAACAGCCGAAGCGGCGTCGCAAAGTCGCAAAAACGGCATGAATAGAGATGCTGGCCGGCCGCTCGGAGTGCCCCCCCCCTTTTTGCACTTCGTCCCGCGCAGAGCGGAAACGCTAATTTCCCGCGTAAAACAGGCATTCCTCGTCCCTGCCGCCCGCCGAGCGCCATGGTCCGCTTTCCTCGAGAAAGGAGGGCTCTCGCTTCGCTCGCCTTGGCGGCCGCCGTCGACGGCGACCCCCGGCCGAAGAGGCTCGTCCCGGCCGAGCCGGTGCCGAAGCCGAAGCCAGAGACTTGAACGCAAACGCCGAGCCTGAGATTGAGATAAGATGCGACCGGCCGACAGCGACTGTCACACTGTCGCAGCGCGATGCCCCGCGGCGAGGCGCCCGCCGGCCGCAGGGCGGGCCGCCCCGCCGAACAGCGCCGTCCCCGTGATGCCTACCTCGCAGGCGCCCCGCCCGAGTTAGTTTACCCGAGGCCGCGCCGCTGCGGTCTTGGTCTTGTTAAACCCGCCCAAACAGGTGGGCCAATGCTAGGCGTCCGACGGGCAAGGGCCGCCTGGCCGGACCAGTGGCGCGAACTCTCGGCCGCTTAGTTCCGTCGAGGGCCGTCTAGGGCGCCTCGAAGGGCGGCGTGAACCCGAGCGCGCCTTACGTCACCCGCTTTTCGACACCCCGTCCCCGCGACCGCGGCGGTGGAAGAGGGGGCGAGAGGGGGGGGGGGCGTGATGCAACACACATGCACACGCCAGACAATTATGGGATGCCTCCGCTCCGCAGGCATCTCCGCCTAGGGTCACGGCCTTGGCGGCGGACAGCGCCGGCCCTTATATGAAATTCCAGACGGTTAAAATGAAAAAAAAAGGTACAAATAAATTAACCGCTTGCCTGCGCGGGCGCGCTAAGCCGCAGCGCGAATGATTGTGGGAAGCTTTCCAAGGCGGCGCGCGCGGTGCACTCCGGTCTGCACGCGCAGACTGCGGCCGCTCGTCACCGCCACGGCGAGGAACAGGGAACGCAGATTCTCTCGATTACTTCTTTTTTTCGGCATACTTATTTATTTTAAAAAGAGCGCGATTGTCTCGCTAACGAGCGGCGGAGCCTCGCGGCCGCTGAGGCGCGCTCAATCTGAATAAGCGGCCATTCCAATGTGAATGTGCGGCGGCGAGGGACAAAAAGACAAAGACGGTTCAAAGTCAGGGGAAAAAAAAATACTCACTCCTTCGATGAACAGGTCGACCCATGACGTGAAGAAGGCGGCGACGATGGCGCCGAATATGAGAAGGCCTAGCGACACGACCACCACGAACCCTGCAACCAAAACGCAAGCAGTGATTAGCCGAAATGGCCGCGAGGACAATAAGCCGGCGAGGGGCGCGGCGCGTGTTGAGTAAGGCTTGGCGTGCTGCGCTGCCGGCGCGACAACGACGCGAATCGCGGCCCGCAATCGCACTCCAGTGTTCGACCCGGAGCCGAAAGCCGAGGGCCGAAAGCCGAGGGCCGAGGGCCGAAAGCCGAGGGCCGCACGGGCGTTCGGCGCAGAACAACCCCCGCCTCGAGTTCTAATGCCACAGGTGCATTCGGCATCGATTCGCCGTCCAGCATCGGGCCATCCATCGGCCGGCGTGGCGCGGCGTGGCGGCCCCGGGGGACTCCGCTCTGCGCAAACAACGCCTCGCGTTCCGAGTGTTGCTCACAGCGACGGGTCGGGTGCCTCCGCCTGCCATCGCCGCCATCGGCCCCCATCGGCGAGGAGCGTATTCAGATCCAACAGACAGGAACAATAGTGGGATGACGTCATCGGTGCACTGTGCGCGCATCGCGGCGCAGCGGGCATTCCGAACACATGTAGGGCAGCAGATTCGCGGCGTTGCACCGCCAGCCATTCCCACCGGCGGCCAGCGCGGCGAGCACGGCGAGAACGTCGTTGACGTCTGCACTCCCTGGCACTCCGTGGCACTACCGGCCGCCCGCTGCAGCACTTTCGCTTTTTATTTCGCTCAAGTCACCAGATGCCAAAGCGTCAAAGCGACGGACGGGCCGCGGACGGGCCGTGGACCACCTGTCGTCGGCATCCCCGCTGCCCCAGAGAGTGGCCGAGGTCCCCGTCGGGCCGCGCAGTCCGCACACTCGCGTTGGGCCGTCCGACCGGCCTGGTCCCCATGCTGGTCCCGCTGCCTGCCCGCTCTCGTGCGCCGTGTGCCCACACTGGCCAAGGGACTGCCTGCCCGGCCGCCTGCTTGCCTGACCCAGATACGCCGCCCGCTGCCCGGCCAGCCAGCCAGCCAGTGTGCCAGCCGCACACACGCCAGACTCCTGCGGCTGGAGCGAAAGCCCCCGGTCGAAAATGCGACTGGTCTCCATTTCCCTGCTGCCTCCTCATGGTGGCCGCGCCGTTCGCATGCGCCACGTTTCGTTGCAGCATTCGGAGACGCGGCGTGGCTCGGCGCGGCCAACGCAAGAATGCGCCACCAGCCGCGGCCTGGCCTGCCCCGCCAGGGGGGCGTGGGCGGCGGGGCTGGAGGGGGCGGCGCGCATCTCATCAGCTGATCGCTGCACCGTTAGCCAACACGGCGCCCGCCGAGGCGCCCATGTGTCCCGCGGTGTATGGCCCCCGACGACGGCGGCCCCGACGGCCCCGCGCGCGCCAAAGAAACCTCAAAAGGGAGCGGCCGCGCACTTTACGACGGGGAAGAGCCGTAGCGGGATGTGGCCGCTTCGCAGCGGGAACAAGGCAAAAACAAAATGCAAATAAAAAGAAATAACCCTCCGAAAAAAATACCAGAACAACTCTGGTGTAGTGGATCCCCAGCTGGGCCGCGGTTCTCGCGGTGCCGCGCGGCCTGCCGTTTCCGGCGGGCCGTCCTTGCACTTCCGGTGTGGCGCCGCCGGCGAGGCGGTGGAGGGCGACGGTCTCGAGCAGGGCGTCGCCCGGCGCCCCCGGACACGCAAATGTCGACGAGAGAAAGGTCTGCGCTCTCCGCCGCCACGGCCGCGACAACATATTAAAAAGCGGGACAGTGTTATGTAGTTCATGGACACTGGGAACGAGCCGAGCCGAGCCGAGCCGAGCCACCGCGGAGGCGCGGGGCACAATGACCGCGCCGCCGTTCTCAGGCACTGCCGCCAGCGACACCAGACGGATTCCGAGGGTCCTCTGCATCGCTGCCTCTCTCGCACTCTCGGGACGTCCCGTCTCGGTGCGAGAGAGGCAGTGCGACAACCGCGACTCCCGGGCGGGGCGCGAGGCAAAAGCGCGACCCGCGAACCGCCTCGCCAGCACACTGCAGCGCGAGGCAGAGCCATGCCGACGCCGCCAGCTGACTGCCGCCTTTCTTGACCGAATTAAAGAGGCCGACGCGACGCCGCACAGTGTCGCAGCGTTTTCCAAAGCAACACGGTGTGGTGGCTGTGCTCGCGGCGCGCACCCCAAGGACTTTCCCTCCGCGCGGCATGCCCGGCATGCGGCCCAAATCTCGGCCCGACTGCACCGCCAAACGGCAAACGGGCCAATCGCGTGGGAACCCGGGCGCCGCCCCCGCCGCCGGCCAGTCTAATGTGCGCCAGTCCGACCCGCTAATTCACCGCACGTGGGGGCCACGCGGGCGGTCCGTCTCCGTCCCTTGAGAGCGACAGAGACAGAGCGACCAAAGCGCTGCTGCGGTTTGGAATGGGCGGTCCGCTGGGCTACGCTGGGCCGGTGAGGGCGTCCCCCGCGAGGCGAGGGTGGCGTAACGCAGCACGGGGAGCATCTCCGGGCCGAAGATCGAACGCCGCCGAGACGCGCTGCTCCGCTGCGTCGCGGGCCGAGCTTCACCGAGCTTCCTGTCGGCAGCCAGTGAGTCACTTGACTCGACTCGCAGTCGCTTCGTGAGTCACCGGCAAACAAGTAGTGCAAACACGCTTGCAGCGCTCGCAGTGGAGTGGGCGGAGTGGGTGGCAGTTCAATCGCAATCACTGTCCCGAGCTGTCCCGGACTCCGAGCCATCGCACAGTGGGCCAGAAGACCGGTGGAGGCAGACAAAACTCTAGACGCGTTTTGAGCTCCCGAGTCGCTAAACAGGCCTCGAAACGAACGTGTGACCCCACCAATGGATTCCTCGTTCGGAGAGCAATCCAGTGGTGGGGTCACACGTTCGGTTCGAGTCCCATTTAGCGACTGTGGAGCTCAAAACGCGTGCGGAGTTTTGTCCGCCTCCGCCGGGCTTCTGGCGTCGGGGTGAGCGCCAGCCAGTTCGACTTCGACGGGCAGGTGCCTGGAGGACCCTGGGTCCCCGGAGCAACAAAGGCGGGGGGGGGGGGGGGTGGTCATTCATTGGGCATGTCCGTGGCCGGGCACGGCGGTTAGGTCGACGCCTTTCAAGGGGGCAGGGCAGGGCAGGGCAGGGCAGGGCAGGGCCCATGACTCACCGTGCCCTGCTTTCTTCGGCTGCAGGCACGCCTATCCCGAAAATCGCACACGCAACCAGGCGGCTCCAGCTCCAGCAGCCCACCAAGGGCCTCCCCTAGCACGGCCTCCCTGCCACTCGCGTGCAGCGTGAAGTGTGCAGCGACCGGGCGGCAGGCCTTCCCGCGGGAACGGCTTTAAAATCGAACAATACGCCGACATGTATGCACAGCTAGCCGTCAGACCTCCCCGAATCCCGAGGAGAGTTTTGGAAAGAGAACGGGGAGCGGCACACGCGAGGAGGGTAAAGAATTACGCCAAGGCGGCCGAAAAGGCACGCGGCACGCGCGGCCCGATCGCCGATTTGGAGCGCGGGGCGTCACCGAGGCACCACCGCGTCACCGCGCGCCGCTCGGCCAATCTTTAATCATTCGGCAAGGCAAACCGGTGACGCGGCGCGAGTGGAAGAAAAAAAAACCAGTTTCCTCAAGACGGAGTTTAGCATAGCACACGGGCGTTATGAACGCTAATTTTTTTCCCCTCCCGGTTATACGATGCTAACGCTTTTCAGACTCGAAAAGGAGACAACCGTGCGAAGGTTGCCGGCAGGCCATCGCCTAGACGAACCGCCGAGGGCCCCACCGTCACACTCATGGGGCGTCCCGGAGGGGTGCGAGAGAGACAGAGGGACGGGGTGGAGGGCTTCGGCACCGCAATGTGGGCCGGGTCGGCGGCCGAGGGACGAACGCCGAAGCGCGCCGAAGCGACCAGGAAGGGCAGCAGCGCTCGGCCGGCCAACTGGTGTGGAACCGCAGGGACTTCCCTGTCCTTTCGATTCGCGCCGCCAGGACGGCCGGCCTGCCCGCCCACGCGGAGGATCCGTGTCAGTGTGCCGGTCGCAAGGACACCGCGGCGCACCGCGCGGTCCCGCGGACCGATCCCGAAGACTCGTCCCGTCGCCCCGACTCTCTCGCACCGGCGGGGCGTCGCGCACGGGTGCGAGGGAGACGGCGCGAAGCGACTCTCCGGACTCGCTGCTGCGTTCCCACGGGCCGCGACGCGTGTGGCATTTTCCTCCTTTGGCGCGTACTTGTGCTCATCGGGGAGCTCCGAGGTGGACAGCGTCATGCACGCCGCCGCGGCAGACAGGGAAAAGCCATCACAGCCTTAAAAGCGCCGCCGATACGGAATACAAAACGGCACGGATGCATCGCGCCCATCAGATCGACCGTCGCCTCGCCGCTTTGCGCGTTGTCGATGTCATCGCCTGAGTGCATCCGCGTCACGCGCGCACTGTCCGTTTGCACACTGTAGTATACACTGCTGCGGCGACGCCTGAGCACTGGACGGACAGGGGTTACAACGCGGGCTGCAAGGGCAGACGTTAGTACCGTCACTCCCCGCTGGGGCCGCCGGCAGCGCCACCTCGTCTTACGCAAACCGCATCACAGCGACATCCACAGCAAACCACAGCAGCAGCGAGCGCGGCGACGAGCCCTGCCAAGGGCCTGGCGGCCTGGCGCGTCGCTTTGCGGCCTCAGCCCGGATTCCCCCGGATCAAGAAGACACACAAAACCCTGGCAGGCAGCGGAATGCAGCCGGCCTGGCCGCGCAACCGTGACGGCTAGACGCGCGTCACCGCCGTCACACTCTGCGGACGGCGGCCTAGTGCCTGTGCCTGGCCACGAGCGCGCCATGGGGGGTGGGGTTCCAATCAGCCGCCAAGGGCAAGGGCGAGGCGCCCGGCAACGCCCGGCAACGCCGAGACCCTCCTGTCCGCCCTGACGGACGCCCGCGACCGCCTCCCCCCTCATCACGACGGAATTGCAGCAAGGGCTGGGCGTCGCGGGGCGCCGGGCCGCTTCTCACGGACTCGCGGGCCGCCAGCGACCCCCTCCCTCCCCCTCGTGATAGGGCAGGCAGGGCAGGACGGCGCCGATGGATAGCGTCCGCGGCGCCAGGATATTTCAGGAAAGAGCGCCGCGCGCCTTCACTGTAAAAAAGTGGAGCCACTCGGGAACAAAGCAAGGACACGGCCAGGCCGCCGGCAGGGGAAAAAGTGGCCGGCAAGCCGCAATCAATGAAGAACCGCACGCCGCCGAAAACGGGCGAGCCACTGTCGCGCTGCCCGAGGAGAAGCAGCGCGCCGGCATGGCCGGGCATGGCCGGGCATGGCTCCGGGAAGCCCTCATGCATGCAGCGAGCGGAACGCCGCGAAGGGAGATGGCCGGCCGGCGGAGAGAGGGGACCGAGGGGACCGGCAAAGGTATCCAAGTGTCCGCTACGCGCAAGCCAATGAGTGGGGAGGGTACCCGAAGCCAACCGTCGGAGCTACCTGTCCCGTCCGCCCGGTGCCGCAGCGCCGCAGGTACCTGCACGGGCCGGGCGGCGCTCCCCGTCTCTCTCGCACCCAGGCGGACTTGGCCGTGGGGGCGAGAGAGACGGCCGCGTTGGTGTGTGTGTGTGGGTACGCAATACCAGTTTCTGCTGGAGTGGGGGAGAACAGCTATAGCGCAATGCAACATACCCTCGTGGCTAGCGAGCCCAGGCGCAGCCCGGCGCAGCCCGGCGCAGCCAGGCCACATTACGGTGTGCATGGAACACGGCAGGCGGCCAGCATTGAAAAACGGCACGGCCGAGTCGCACTCTCCAGCCAGCGAGGCGGCGAGGCGCGCGCTGTTGCACCCACAGTGCCTCGCGCCGCGCGCAGAGCATAAACCAAAACGCTTCAATCCGCCGGCGGGCCGAGACAGTGTGGGTTCCGTGTTTGGCCTTTCCTTTCGCCCGCAGCGGGGCAGAGAGAGCTTTAGCCAGCTTTAGCGCATCGAGCATTATGTTTGGCCAGTGCAGCAGCGCCCGCGATTCAAAGTGCACACTCAGTCCGCGCAAGATGGTCAGGTTGGCAGTGGCGCGGCAAGGCGCGCGGCCAATGAACTGTACAGTGCTGCCAACGCGGCGACGCGACGCGGCGATTGAAACGTACGCCTGGCGTGCCGGTAATGCCGACTTGGCCGAGAGGAGGCCTCGCATTCCGCCAAACTAATCGGCCGGAGATTGCCGCAATTGGGCGGCATATGATTAAGCCGACTCGGCAACCCATTAGCGCCCCGGCACGGCGCGGCCGCCAAAAACCAAAACACACAATGCCAGCGCTCGCCACTCGGGCCGCTGCGGACTGCTTCGGACACTCGGGGCTTGGAGGAGGGCACCGCGGCACCGCTAGCTTCCCGTGCGTACCGACGGAGCCCGGACGGCTAAACGGCGTCTAATGGTGGTGGCGTGAGTGGCGAGCCTGCTGCACGTGGCCGACGTGGCGGCCGCGGTGCCACCCCGGCCACCAAGGCCGAGCTGAACGACGTCCGCCAGCGCCAGCGTGAGTGCGGAAAAGGTCAACACAGCCGACAGTGTAGTAGGCCGTAGGGCGTATGGGGAGGCCGGGCCGGGACGGCGGGGCGCGCCCACGCCAACGCTCCCGGCGCTGCTTCTCGCTAGCTGCTTATCGGCCTTCCGCCTTGTCCCGCACCGTCCTGGCAGCCCTGGCGGCTCACAGTGGGCCAGAAGACCGGTGGAGGCGGTCAAAATCCCGGACGCGTTTTGAGCTCCAGAGTCGCTAAATGGGACTCGAACCGAACGTGTGACCCCACCAATGGATTGCTCTCCGGACGAGGAATCCATTGGTGGGGTCACACGCTCGGTTCGAGTCCTGGTTAGCGACTCTGGAGCTGAAAACGCGTCTAGAGTTTTGGCCGCCTCCACCGGTCTTCTAGCCCACTGTGCGGCGAGGCCTGGCTAGGCCGGCCCGGGCCGTGACTGGCGCGCGCACCGCGCACCGGCCTGCCTTCCCACCGGCTGCCTTCGGCTGCCCGGCGCGCCGCCCCGCCGGCCCGGCGTCACGTGCGCACCGAGACCGCGGCGGCACGGCGTCGCTCCACTCACTCACGCCGAGGCGCCGGAAAAATGGTTATTAGACGCCAGTCCTAACGAAGTGGGTCGGATCGGCGCGCGCGCGGTCGATTAGAACCCGTTGCGCTAGCGCGACAGCCGCGACACCGAGCAAACAGCGAAGTGCATTTTCCTTTATGTAAGCGGCGTTGTGAAACGTAGACGCCGCGCCTCCAGCCGCCACAGGCCAGCCGCGCGCCGCGCTGCTCCGGGCCAAGAAGGGCCGCGGCGCGTACTGCGTTCGGCGGCGGCCGTGCTCCGCGGCGCGCACGGGGGCTCCGCGTGGACGCGCGTGGACGCCGGTCAGCCAGTAGGGCGAAGGAGGAACGTGCTCCTGGACGAAGGTACGGCCCGCGTCGCCTTGCCGCCGTGGGGCCAGGCCGCGACGGTGACACGGTGACGGCACGCTCGTGTGGACACTGCAGTCTGGGCCGCGTCCAGCGGGGCCGGGGCCGGGGCCGCACGCCGTGGCCCCCGGCCCTCTCGGCCCGGCCCGCGTTGCCTCCAAGGTGAAAGCATTACCCAATAGGTGCCGTCGGCCAGATAGCCACAGAGCTAATGACCGACTGAAGACCCCGGGGAGGGGAGGGGGAGGGAGGCGAAGGGGATCCAAGGATTACGTGGGGCTCAAGGGCGGCCCGCCGCAGTCCAGTCGCCACCGGCCGGGGATGGGATGACTGGGGCATTCCGTGCACTTCATTCAGCCGCGGCCTGCATCTCCTTCGCGCGTTCATTCAGCCACTGAATCATTCATTCATTCAGTCAGTCGATCATTGAATTATTCGTTCAACAACAATCGAATCGTGCATTCATTCGTCAATAGTTGAATCGTGCATTCATTCGTCAATAGTTGAACCGTGCATTCATTCTACAATCGATTCATTCATTCATTCATTCATTCATTCATTCATTCATATCATCTCTTCATCTATCTCATTCATTCATTCATTCCATCTCATCTCATTCCTATCATCATTCATTCATTCATTCATTCATTCATTCATTCATTCATTCATTCATCCATTCATTCATTCACCAATGAATTCTGCAATCATTTCCTCAACCATTGAATCGTGTGCACAATCAAATGCACCTTAATTGTAAACCCAATGATTCATTCATTCATTCATTTCCATGGACGGTCCAAGTCGTACATTTTCGTTCGTCGCGAGGAAAAGACCGAGCCACTCTTCCGTGTACCGGCGACAGGAACGACGAGACAGGACAGGCGATTCGTCACAAAAATTGACAGTTTCCACTCTCCTGTTATCCCCGGCGAGGCGGCCTGGCCGTGGCTCGGCCGTGGCTTGGCCGCGGCTTGGCCGCGCGTAATCTCTGCCGTCTAGACAGCTGGGTGCACTGGGCGCACTCCGAGACTTCCAGCGGCGCGGAGTGCACGGAGGGACGGCCGGGCAGCACGGCCGGGCAGGTGAGGACCCCGGTATACGGCGTGAGGTGCCGACGACAGGCGGGCAGGCGCGGGGAAGGGGAAGGGGGGCGGAGGCGGAGGGCAAGGCGACGAGCGCGGCGACCACCAGTTGAATGGCACCAAGTCCAGCCCCACCCACTTCTTGACTTCCTCGCCAACAACCCCGGCCGGCCGGCACATTCCTCCAGCACTCCGTCCTGTGCACGGAGGATCGTGTTGGCGAGGGGCGCCGTGTTGACGGCGAGGTGGAGGGGCGTTGGCCCGGGCCCACCAGCCAGGCCGGCAGGCCGGCAGGCCCCACTCGGTCAACAATCGGACGACGACTCGGGGGCAATAATGGGAATCACGGCACGGTTGTAGATTGTAGTGCAGTCGCTTCGGTCGCTTCCTAGAAGGCGGCGGCATTTATCAGCCGGTTCAACGAATCGGCTCCTCGGCTCGGCTTTTCATTTATCACCGCTACTGTCCATGAGTTGTGGCTCCGGGCTCGGCCTCATGACCGCCGCGCGGCCGTCGTCCAGACGGTCCACACCCCAAGTCCAGCCCGAGGCACCTCGGCCACGAATACTTACACCACTTGCGCAGGAAGCTGCTCTTGAGCTTCGCCACCAGCTTGTTCTTGCCGCCCTGCATGTTGGCGGCTCAGTAATCCGTCTTGAGTGTTATCCCTGGGGGCACTGGCACTCACACTGCACTGTATCCACTGGCTTCACTTGGCACACTGGGTTATCCAAAACGGCACTCGCGGACGGCGGGACGGGCACCCCTCGCGGGGGCGTGGCGGTCGTCGGGGAGGCCGGGGGGTCTCTGACGTGCACTGAGCCCCAAGTCCGTACCGCTCGCTAGCCTCTCCGCCACAGCACTGGCGACTGGCGTGGACTGGCGGCCTGGCGCGGGTAGGGCGGCCGCGGCGTGGCGTGTCGAGTCGAGTGGAACCCGCCGGAGCCGACCGACAGCCGAGCCGAGCCGAACCTGGCCGAGCCGAGCACACCTTGCTGGGACGCCGAGCGAACGCGCCGCGCGCAGCCCTCAACGAGTGGTGGTGGCGGCGGCGGCGTGGCGGCCCGATCGCCCGTTGCGTTGTGGCGGCGGTCCGTCTGTCCGTCCGTGTCCGTACGCCCGTCGGCGGCCGGCCCGCCTGTCTGTCCGTGTCCGTCCGTCTGTCCGTCCGTCCACCGCGCGGCCGCGGCAGGTTGCTGGGAAGGGAATGCCGGGCCGCCGCGCCGCCCCGCCGCGCACCTTGACTCCCCGGAGGTCGCAGCACGGCACGCCGACGGCAAGGCACCTCGGTGCAGCCAGAGGGCCCCAGCATCACTCCAGCGGACTCCAGCAGGCTCCAGCGAAACCCCACAACGCTTCCAATTTTTACTCAAGCGGCCGGACGAACCTCACTCCTTACTCTACTGGTCATCGAGCCGGTGATAACACTGTTCCGGCTATGGGGCACTTTATTGCACGTCATCGGGCTGGTCGCAGGCCCGGTTGCCATGTCCGCCGTGTCGCGAGTAGAAGTGGAGGGCGGGCAATAACGAACAGCCCGCCTTACCTTGGAGCACTGCAAGGACTGCAAGGACTGCAAGGACTGCAAGGACTGCAAGGACTGCAAGGACTGCAAGGATGGCTAGCCGGGCCTAGGTGGCCTGGGCCAGGCCCTGCACCTTGCAGGCAGGCTCCGGCCCAGCAGGCTCGGCTAGGCCTCGGCCGAACGGTATTCGCCCTTCCCTTCGGCTTCGGCTCCTTCAACCGGCCGCTTCGCCGCGTCGCATCTCCAGTGCATCGAGACCGATTCACACTACGTAGCGTAGCAGCGGGCTGCGCGGCGCCAGCCAATGGCGGCGCTCCGTTTTGGCGGGGAATTTGAAACGGCGCGCTGAGATTGGCGGAGAGACGACGGTCTGAGCGATACGCCTTGCCCTGCCGCGGCCCTGCCCACGCAAGACTCGCGGCGGCAAGCAGAGCAGGTGGAATGTGGACCACGACGCCGGCGAAGCCATCCCAGTGAAATCGGACACGATTCGAACCCTCGCGGCGTGCCGGCCGGGACCAGCCGGGGCGGGCAGGACGTACGCGCGGATCATACCGACTCTTTGCACTTCCAAATGGCCCTCCCGCCCCGCCCCGCCCCGCCCCGCCGGAGCACCACGCGGAGAAAGTGGCCCACGCCCCGCCCCGCCCCGCCCCGCCCTAGGGCCGAGCGCGCGCCGACTGGTGAGTGCGAGTGCGCGCTGCGCGGTGCGTGCGCCGCCCGCCGCCCTCCACCTCATTCAAAGGCTGGCGCTGCGCTTCGTATTTGGCGCGCGAGGACGCTGCAGTGTCCTCTGCTGTCCTCTGCTGGCGGCGCCATGGCGGCCGCGGCTCCGCGTTGACGGCGACGTGCGGCGGGAATGTTTAAAGACGGCCATCGTCTCGCCTCGCCTCGCCTCGCCAGCCACACGCGCGTCGCTTACCGAAACCGCGCACAAATAGTGCTCGCTTTTGTGAGGCCGCGACCGACGCCCCACCGCTCCGCTCTCCACCACACACACATTCACACACGGCCGGAGCACTCCGACTCCGGCCGACCGAGCTCGGACAGGCGCGCGCGCGCTCTCGCTGCAAACACACTGCAGTTTCCGCATTTTGGCGGGAAGTGGAGCCGGTCCTGCCACGTTGCATCACTCAGGATGACACACACACTCACACGCTGACCCCCTCGTTTGGACAGCCACGTGACATTATGTCACAGCCAATGGGGAAAGTCCCAAAGTGGCAACGGCAATGCTTGGCCGTGCCGACTGCGACCCGCGAGTCGGAGGAGGCGGCGGCGAGGCCCGCGCGCCGCCACGCCGGTCCGCGGGTACAACGCCGGCCGGCGCGGGATCAATTTGTCCATTCGGACGCACAGATCGGCACGACGCGCGTCACTGTGCCTTGAGCCTGCCCCGCGCTCTACGCACGTCACGGACGGCCCGTGCGGCCCGTGCGGCGTACAGTGTAGGCCCGAAGCGCGCAGCGCGCACGCACCTCCTTTACTGCCGCGGCCTGTTTCTATTTTTCTCTTTGCCATGACCTCGGCTGTATCTATTCGAGTTTTGGCGGGCGGCGATCAGGCACTCGTTAGCCGCAGCCTCCCAGGCGCAGGAATCTCCTTGACGACGACCTATGGACCGCGCGCGTCGCGTCGTCGAGGAACGCGTCGAGGAAGTCGCGTCCGCAGCCGAAATGCACTGTAAACTGCAGTGATGCACGCTGTGGCAGCGGCGTGCGTGCGGGCGCCACACTCCCCGCCGCGCCGGCTTCCTGTCGCAGATGGAGGAGTACGACGGGCACTGAGGCCCGTTACAGTGCAGGCGGCGGCGTGGGACAGCGCATCCCAGCTAGGCGCAGCCAGCATCCATTGCGCGGTGGTGCCGCTTGCCACTGATGCCCTTCCCATCTTCAAGTTAATTCCCCCTGCGTTTCCGTGGTGCACGCTGCTCGCCGCGGCGGGGCGGCACGGCGTCGTCGACCCCCAGGGCGACCCTGAGTGAACTCCCGCCCACCCCGCCGCGCCCCGCCGCGCCCCGAGGACGTGCCTGGACGCCGTCGAGTGCTTGTGCATGCGTCGCTGACCGCTCATACGGCCTCGCCGGCGCGGCTGCTTCCGCGGTGTCCCCCTGGAAGCCCTGGAGACAATGGCCCTCGCCACCCTGCACGGCGCGGTCGCGGTCACGCTGCATCCACAGGGCTGGGGACCTTCGCGAGGGCCCGCACCGCGCCCTGTAGACTAGTTCATGGAGTCAGCGCCGCTGCCTCTCTCGCACCTGTACAGAATGGCCCTCGAGTGCGAGAGGGATAGAGACGAACGAGTCAACGTGCTGCCGTTGGCTGCGAAAGTGCAAACACGGAACGCAAGCAGCGTCGCGGCCAAAACACGCTCGGCTCGAGGCAGGGCGCGAGGCGCGAGGCACGGATTAGCCTGGGCCGGACTCACTGCCACCAACACCGGCACCGCGACGCCGCCAACAAATTTCCATGTACTCAGGGCAATAAAGTCTCGAATCTGGTGAAACGCTCTGATAAAAATAAACAAACAAGGATGGGAGTTTGTTTTTCTGGGCGTCGAGAAAGATCCGACCAAAGCACTGCCAAGGCTCGGCCGCACCCAGGCCCCGCTGGGGGCCCCGCCCCGGCAACCTCGCCCCTTTCGGCCTTCCCGTCTCCGCCGTCCCCAAGGGGCCCACGGGGCACGGGGGCCACGGGGCCGGCCACTGCCCGCAGCCCGGCCTCGGCCGGACAAGGACGGGGAGTCCTCCCAGACGCCTTCCTCGCCGTGCCCGGCCGTGCCTTCCACGGCGACCACCAAGCCACTTCGGAACCTGAAATGCCGCCGGGGGGCCGGGGCGGCCGGGGCAGTGAGCAGGTTTTGGCCGCGCGAGGATACGTCGCGACTCTCCGTCTCCGTCGCTCCCGCTGGAACTCTCGCTGGAACGAGGCAAGGAGCGGCGAGGCGGCGTCCTGGAGGCGCTCCTGGAAGGAACTCCGGAGAACGCCCCGGTCTCTATACTTCCCAGCTGGAGCAAGCGGAGATGAGGAGGAGAAGGAAAGAACAAAAACAAAGAGCTCTCGCGAGAAAAAAATGGAGAGAAAAAGTGTGACCTTCCTCACGACTGAAGGAGGACGCCTTCCTGCTTGATGCCTTTTAGTCGCCAGGATCTTATCGGGGGAGACTCGACGACAAGAAGTCCGAATCGGCGACCCGGCCCGGTCTCCCTGGCGTCACTTGGCAGTGTGTGTTCAGTACAGCACACAGACTAGAAAGGCAGCCAATCCCAAGGCTGGCTGCCTGTCGGCACACGGAAGGGCGCATCGCCCGGCATCCTTGTTGGCGTCGCGTCGCACTGGCGCCCAGTGTGGGTGCGAGAGAGACAGCGCGGGCCGTTCGCTCGCACGGGTATAGCAGTGCAGCGGAGCGCCCCGATAGCCATCTCGATGAGTCCTCCTCAACCTGCAGCCTGGAGCCCCAAGCAGCGATGTTCGCCATGCTGTCCGCGAGGCCGAGGCCGAGCACGGCGCGCCAAAAGCCAAAAGCCAAAAACGAAGGACGCGCTGCAGGTGCTAACAGCACGGGGGCAATAAGCGGGGCTGATAGCACGGCCAAGCGCGGAGCGCGAAGCATAGCGAACCCACTCGTCAATCTGTTAGCATCCTCGCGCTCCTGCCGCGGCCCGGCGGGCTGACTGGCTGGCGGACTGGCTGGCTGGCGTACTGGCTGGCGGTGACGCAGGCGTGCTCAGTTAGGCAACGTAATGAGGCGCGCTGCAACCGCCTCTCTCCCTGTCTCTGTCCCTCTCTCTCGCTCCGCTACATTTCATCTCCCTCGCCGTAATTGTGGAGCGACAGAGCATCGCGCACCGGCAGTGCGGCGGCAGTGCGGCGGCAGTGCGGCGGCAGTGCGGCGGCAGTGCTGCTGCGTGCCGCAGGCCGAGTCCGAACCTCCGAACCGCCGTCGCCCTCTCTCTCTGGCACTCACGGGGGTGCGAGAGAGATGGGGCACTGTTCGGAATCAGGCTACTCCAGAATGACTCGGTGCAGCTTTTATTTTTTTCCGTTCGCAGCACAATGGCACCGGGCCGATTAAGTGGCACCGCGAATTAAGTATCATCAGCATTCCGGGTCCGCGGAGGACAGGCCGCGCCGCCGCGCCGCCACCGGAAGTCTTCCACGGCGACGTTTGGCAATGGCTCTCACATGCACGAACGTACGAACGTAGACGCGGCCGCAAAAAAGGAATCAGAGATTCAGAGGACGCGCGGTTAACACGTACTCTGTCCCGTCCCAGGCACTAGTTGCAGTTCAACAGCACACACGCCGCCAGGGCGCCGCCGAGGTCAAGGTCCACGGCACTTTGGCACACGGCTCG